GCGCACTCTCAGTTTACGGAAGCAAGAACATCTACATACGTCGCCATTCCCTACAATACAGGCCTGGGATAGAGACTACTACTGCCCTCCCGAGCCGCCAGCTCCACCTGTTTCACTTCCCCCACTTACCTTAGGTACAGTCTTCATGGGACTATCACGCCTATTCCGTAATCTCTACGGCATTACCCTTCGCCTTACTAAAGTCACACCCGGCGAGGTGTGGCATCCCGACGTTCGGAAGCTGGAAGTCGTAGACGAGAAGTCCGGAGTCATAGGATGGATCTATGCCGATCTTTTCGCGCGACAAGGCAAGCCAAGCGGCGCGGCACACTACACCGTCCGTTGCTCACGACGAACGGACGACGACGACGCGCACCACGACCTCGACGACGCTTGGGACGAGGGCGCCCTAAGGGCGATTCAGCTATCTGACAAGTTCGAGAACGCTCACCGAGCTAAGATACCGGGCTCCGAGGGTGTCTTCCAGCTGCCTGTTGTGGTATTGCTGTGCGAATTCACTCGGCCATCCGTCCGCAAAGGTCCGACTATCCTTGCGTGGCACGAAGTCCTCACCCTTTTTCATGAAATGGGACACGCGATGCATTGTGAGTTCTCCGACCAATGATGACGTATCGATCGTCATGCTCACCATATATATATATAGCCATGGTCGGACGGACGGAGTATCAGAATGTATCCGGCACGCGCTGTGCTACGGACTTCGTCGAGCTGCCGTCTATCCTGATGGAACATTTTTTGAACTCGCCAGCAGTGCTCTCGTTGTTTGATATCAAGGGCAACGAACCCCTTGTCGCAGGAAACCACCACGAGGATCCTTGTCATTCCATCGACACGCACACCCAAATATTGCTGGCCGCGCTCGATCAAATCTATCACTCACCTGCTGCTCTGTCTCCGGACTTCAACTCCACGGCAGCGTTGGCGAAGCTGTACGAGACCCGCGGCCTCATTCCCTACGTGCCGGGCACATCATGGCAGACGCAGTTTGGGCATCTTTTCGGGTACGGCGCGACGTACTACTCGTATCTCTTTGATCGGGCAATCGCCTCTCGCATCTGGCGCAAGCTCTTCGCACACGATCCTCTGAACAGGGAGACTGGGGAGCGGTATAAGAACGAGATTCTTAAGTATGGCGGTGGCAAGGACCCGTGGGAAATGGTCGGTACGTTGCTGGACGCGCCGGAGACGCGGCATGGCGATGCGGAGGCCATGGCTGAAGTTGGAAGGTGGAAAGTTGAAGATGAGGTGTCTATGCCTGGACGCCATTAATCTGGGTCCGTAGAAGATTGCGTCGTACATGTACTGGAAAACACGGCCGCGCATGACGCTGACGCTTTGCAGGTTGCTATACGTCCTCCGCCGTTGCTGTTCTGAGCCCTTGGTGTTGCAGTCTTCAGCCTCTTGGTAGGCGCGTGTGCGAACGCATCATATAGTAAAGAGTGCGGCATCGCACAGAGCAAAGAGCGGGCTAGAATACATGATGACCAATAGAGTAGCTAATAATGATAAGCGGAGTGTACTGCGAACCGAAGACTGCGGCTTTAGATGTGACTGAGCAAAGCAAGCTGAGACTGGGTGCCGATGAAGGCTAGCCGATAGCGATGGCGATGGCGAGGTAGGCAAGGAAGCATTCCGCATTGTACGAGATGTTGAAGATGAGGGAGGAGCATGAAGAGCTGAGCTGAAAGCAGTGGAAAATTTAAGGATATTGTTCCCTGCACCCCGGCTGTACGAGGAAGGGGGACGATGTCAAAGCATTTAACGTTACGATATTACTCTTGGTTCTGATGGCGGGGACAAGGGCGGTGTGCAAGGCAGAGCATCGAGGGAAGACTCTGAACCCTCGCTGAGATGAGATATTGTCGACGAGATGGAACTGACGGATGTTGACCGTGAAGCAGATGAGAGAGGCCTCGAGGGTAATGCGTAGGGATGCGATGAACAGCGTGCATGTGCGAACTTCGGAGACTGACTTTCCCTTCGGATTTGCTTGGATTTGCTATAAGGCTGTACGGTGGCCGTCGACTTGCATGCATCGTAAGACCAAAGTAGACGAGCTGTGGATATAGCAGGTGAACATGAACCACGTGCAGACGTTTGCCCGACACTGACAGAAGGGTAGATGAGAGCAGGAAGCGGCGCCTTCGAAGCCGTAACAGAAAGACAGTATGGGTCAGACCAACCTGTGGGTCTGAGCGACCCTATTGAGCAAACAGTAGATGTAGGATCGTCTAGCGTCATCTTTGCAAAGGTGTCGGCAAGATCGGCCACCGCACTGTCACCAGGTACGCCCTTCGTCCGGTAAGACGACGTATGGTGAGGCCACTCCGTTATAAAATGTAGCGAGTCGTCAAGAGGGAAAGGATCGTAATGGCAGATAGGAGGGAAGCGAGCTGGATATGCGTGTGCCGGTCGCTCAGAACCAAGCTCGTCTAAGTGGGTGCGTGTCGTATGCGGAGGTACCGGCTGAAATAAGAGATTAGATTAAGGTATGAGGCGATGTGGGCGTATATCGCTTACCGACGAAATGCGCTCAACACTACAGTGAATTAAGCCCGGACTGGAGCACTGAGAATCTGTTCCGGACATCTTAATGATCGATGGACTAAGATGCGAGAGCTGTATCGTTTTGGTGGTAGTTTTGTTCCGCGCTGAGTGAAAAACGGTGCCCTTCTTTAAGACTTGGCCATCCCTTTTGGACCGATTTCTGCGATTCTGAAACTGGTAGAGGAGCGTAAAGGGCGTGCCGTCTCTCAGGAGCGGAATACCTACCCAAACATGAATCTGCCTATATTCCATGCTTGTTAACAGGGCCAAGCGTTCCTTCTCGCCCCGCGTTGGGTACGGATTTTCAGAGAAGGTGCTTTCAAGAGTAGGCAGCGCTTCCTGCAATTGGTGAGCTGGAAGAAATAATAACGTGTATATTGAACGCTCACTTGTTTGAAAGAACACTTTCCTTGGCGGCTCGGCAAGTGAACAGGATCGTTCCTGGTGGCGGTCGACTTGGCGGCGGCGATGGATTGTAGCTGACGCACGAAGGTTTGCTCCAGTTGCCCTAGTTTCGCAATATAGCGATCGCAAAAAGCCTTCTGAACGTTTTGAGCGTCCCGTCCAGTGCAGAAGCCCATGTGTATCAAAGACTCCAGAGAAGAGCGCATCCACTCTTCATGAACATCCTTCAACTTGGCTGCACTCTGTACGTATGCATGGGACAGCCGTTCTGAGACCACAGGCCGAAAGCCTTGGCTAACGAGGTAAGCAGTTAGAGGCTGGGGGTCGGGAAGAGAGTAAGTGAGGGCTTCCCGAGCAAGGGCGGCGGGGAAGGGCGTAGGTGGTACATATCCGCGAGGATACATGAAACCCGCGAACTGGTGTGCTCTATGCGAGATACGGCGTAAGATAGATATTTCACGGTCGCCTGTCGCCATTGCGCCTGGTGAGGACCGGGGGACTTGGATGTGAGTGTCAGTGGGCTTGCGACAAGTTGCGAGCATACGGGAGGCGCGTGCGAATCAACAGTTCGCTTGTTTATTGAGACGAACTAGGTAGTTCGTTCCCACAACCATGCATCGCGTGCTGATCTACAGCGTGAGACGAATCTTGTCGGACCCCTTTGTCCCCTCCTCTCAACTCTCTGTCTCGAGCTCTAAGACGTCACTATCGCTCGCTGCCACTACATTCCGCTCCGACTGTTTGACATTCCATTGTGGGCCGGTTCCATGCAACACACCACTGCCTCTTTGCAGCGACGCCTTGAAGAAGCGGAAGAGCATTTCCTCTCCGCTCTGTCCTCTCAAGACGACATAGCCTTAGAGGCTTTCAGAAAATGCTGGGAAGCCCTTTGTCTAGATTTCGAAGACGCTTTCCACGCGGGTATCGTGGACGACTCTTTACGAAAGCTTGCTCAGTACATATCCTCTATAGTCGTCATTCTCGACGAGAGCCTCTTTCATCTGCAACAGGAAGTGAAAACCGCGTCGTTCATGTCTGAAATTGACGAATTATTCGCGAAGATGGCCATCGACGACATTGTGGAACCAGCCCCTCTCGACCGTGCAATGGCATCACGTACACGGCGCGAAAACGCGGCCGAGGACAAGGCTTCGTCGTCTCTTCCTCCTATCATTCCACTGGCTTTCGATTGGCTGGTGGAAAACCTGCAGAATCCTTATCCAACGACTGCATTAAAATTGTCCATGGCTACACAAGCAGGAATCTCTTTTCGCTCCATGGACGAATGGTTCAAGTCCGTTCGTCGCCACATTGGCTGGGTGTCGATCGTGAAGAGACATTTCAAAGGCTCGCGGGCTCTTGCGATTGCTGCGGCAGAGCGAGTTCTCTCCCAAAACGGTGGCGATACAACTACTTCCTTCGAGATCGCTGCAGACCTCCTAGCAATGAGGTCAGAGCTGGTTAACCTCTACCCGAATGCCAAACAACATTCTTGCAGACACGCTCCATCATCATCATTGCCTCGCGCGGACTCGCAAAAGCCATCGTCGTTTCTTCCATATTCGTCCTTGACTTGCGGCAGCTTTTCTTCGATCTCCGAGCTATCTGGGGGCTCGCAGTCGCCACCCTCCACCAGACCACCGTCACTTATATTTACGTCCACGGACAGCGAGGATGATGACCGCCTGTCATTGCTCACACGCAGTTCGCCCACCATATCGCATTATGAGTTTGACTTGCAGCTGTCGAGGTATGCACGTCAGTTCCTCTTGAGGACTAGTATGTTGACGGGCAGATTATCAGAGAGTCCTACAACGATTCCGCAACATCAGGACTTTTGCCCAACCTCCCTGGCCTCGTATATCCTCCCGACTCATCACAAGATGTTCCATCTTCATCACCCGTCACAGAGTCCGCCTGGTGGCCGGCTCATATTTACGATGATCCAGTCCTATCAATCAACACCCATTTCTCTTCGACAACCACCGTCACCAGAAAGCGTCGAAGGTCTAACGCAGACGTTGTGCCGCTGACGAAGCGTCCTAGGAAAAACTCCACACCGGCCTCGACGAAGCCACAAGCGGTCTCTACCTCCCTTCCTCAACGTCGAGTACATTACGATGGCCCTTCTTCCGATTGCGACACTTCTTCCAAGAAAGGTGGCGCAAACTCAACGCTCGACTCTCGGTTGGTGATCGACTCCTGCTGTTCCCTTCACAAGGTCCGGCCTGCTGAATCATGTGCCGACCAAATTGCTACTGTTGGTCGGTAGTATATCTCTATAGTCAGCTTTATTACTGATGAGCCGTGTAGACAGATCCACGATCGTAAACGTCAACCCACCTCAGCATAATTATGCCGCATGCGTAAGCCTTTGACCCGTTCTGGCTGAGTTTTGTTGCATAATCCGTATGCAGATTCGTACCGTACCGTCGCCTACCACGCTAAGGCAAACTCCCCCCCTCATCGATGCCGGCGTACCGGAGTTGAGCCCTGAAGCACTAAAAGAGATGCTCGACGACATTTTATCGAACTTCCACGTAGATTCAACGCTAGCCAACGAGGTACCGCCACCCCTTCAACTACCCTTCACTGAGGATAGCCATGTACCAAATCCGTCTATGGACCTTCCTCTAGAGCAGCGAGAAGAGTTTGGTCTTCTACTTGCATCTGCCGAATTACAACTTCCGGAGTTTGACGAAGCTCTATGGGAGAGCATCTTCGAATCGTCGGTGGTTCCGTTGCACGATGTCCTATCACAACCGACTAGTTCCTCCTGTACGCCATTTTGTCCGTTATTTCGGCCATCATTGCTCATCGTGATTGTGATGCGCAGAGCTCGTCAATCTCATCCGCCTTGTATTCTCGCCCTACAAAGGACACAAGGAAACAGCGTCCAGCGTTGACAAGGACTAAGCGTCCTCGCGGCCATTCTCTCCTCCATACCATTATCTATCCTTCAACTCAAGTGCATCAATACTTACATCGTCTTTACAGGATAAGCTCCCGGCCTGCCGTTACCGCCTGAAGACCGCTATTCTCGCTCATCGTTTGCGGCTCTGCACTAAGACGACAATCATCTGCTTACTCTTTGCTTCTCGGTGCTTTTTATTGCTATATATCTCCCTGTAGTTTATGCTTGATTTGCCCATTGTCTCAAGAACAACCTTTGGGTCCACCATCGCATATCTCAAGTCGTGACATGCAAGACAGGCTCGTGTCAGCCTCAGGAAAACAAGGGTGCCTCCGGCATGCTCGTCGTCGTACCGTCTTGTCATTCTTTGTACAAGGCCCAGCGACAACGCATGTACTCGCTTGCGGCGACCGACTAGCAGAGAAGCTCACGAGAAACACATGTCCATCCCCACCTACGTACTTCCAATGTACACCTGTCATCCTTCACGTTCTAGCCTGGAATGGCACCTCATAAAGTCCAGCTGCTTCCGGCTCACTATAACCCTGCAAATCGCTCGACCGAATTCGTTAGGACGTCTATCATGTTCTCTCCGTACTCTATCTACGTAGAGGTGTCTCGAAGTCTAGCGTGATATCAAGGGTCAGACGAAGCCCGCGTCTCGAGCATCCTCAGCCGCAGCTGACCAATCGTCGTCGAGGTACCTGACTCCTCGCGCCTGTTCGCTTTCGTCCCAGCGTGGACTCATCGTGCGCGGCATGGAGATGTGAGGACCGATCTTTAAGACGGGCGGGCACGGCAGCGGCACCCCTCCGACTCACCTTGTGTAATCAGGGTTAACTCAAATCAAGAAGTTTTGCTGTAAAACCTCCGAAAGCCGGTTTATTATCCACACCTAATTATATGCTCTTCTGTGCGTGTTGTCCCGTAGACACC